TCGATACGGTATTTGCATACAATTAAGAAACGATTATAGGCACCGCGCGCGCGGTAACGCGTTGCGACAAGAGGTCTGAGAGAGCGTATTCGTCATTCGTTCGTGTCGTTCTCCCGCGATCGATATCGCGTTTCCATTGCCGGCTGGATTTTCGCAACGAATTTCTTTCGCGCGAATACCCCCGCGACCGAAACGACGAATATTCCGATATTGTGATCCGACAAACGACACTAACGCCAACATCGAATAAAATAATGACGTTATTTAAACAAAAAAAGTTTGGCGCGACGAGCAAACGTGTACCATTATGCGTCTATGTTTTCACGACGTCGTACACGGAATCGAGCGAGTGAAACCGATAATATAATTCTGGTTTCTGGAAAATCGTCGGTGGTTTCGATGCCATAGAGACGTAAACACGAGCTTTATGTTTATTCGCAACGATGGAAACGTGAGAATTCGCATGAAGCACGTTTATTTGTTGCCTGTATGGGTACAACACCGGCAGTTCTCTATTTTCATCCGTATAACATTTTCCAACTTCGCAGGTTTATCTGCGAAAAATATTTAATTGCACATCTTTGAACGTCACGTATTTTTGAAATATATATAAAATTTGATATACAGTGTTTCCCTGATAATTTAATGTAAATTTCATTAACGCGATTCGGAATTTCACGAAATTCCCCGTAAACACTCGTGACAATATTAATATAACTTTCATATATCGTTGTACTTTTCTTGTGGCGTATATTCCGTATATTTACTAAGTACTATCACACATCGAATGTAATTTTCGATCAGTGTTCCCGTTTCAACTTGTGGTATGCTAAGGTTGAATTGCACCTGGGTTAACTACCTTGGTTTAGCGATTTGCTGTCCCTTTCTGGATTAGAGAATCGTGTTGCATAGAATTAGCGCTAATCGACATTCACTGCAGTCGGATCTATATCGATCGTGATCGTAAGTTTACATTTATAAATATACTCTTATAAATGATAATGATATATTATTTATAAAATAATAGATCCATTAAATAGTTTTTTCTTCAAATAATCACATATATATTTAATTACATAGATAACTAATATCCTTATACATAAATGTATGTACAATATTGATACATTTTTATATATATAATAATAATAATAATGTAACAATTTAATTTTTTTTTAAGTGTCCTCGTTTTTAATATCGTAAATGTTATAATAACATGCAATAATAACAAACTTGAAAGCCAATATAATTTCAATAGATTTACCTTTCGATCCAAAAAATACGTGAAAATGATCTCTACGTTCATTCATAATAAAAAAATATTAATCAAATCATTTTAAATTACATATCTGTACAACATTAAATATCAAATTCATTGAAATATATTAATTTCAAGTATTTTACGTTGTGCTTAACGCAGTATTTATGGTTATTTATGTAAGGCAATATCCTATGAACGACATCATGAAATCAATAATTTCTAAAATGTTTTCTGATTAAATAAATTTTTGAACGACGTGACAGATTGCGATTTTTCGCACATGGAGAACGTAATCGAAGGCGTAAAGTGATTTGAAACAATTAACATGAGATCGTTATGTAAACTACAGACTCGTAGTAGGGGCAACCTTCACGTACAAGCGAAATCGTCAAGAAAGTAAATGCGCTATCGGGTCAAGGAAGAAGTTGAAGAATGAATCGTCCTCGTTAAAAGAACGTAAGCGTATCTCGCAACGCGGAAAACGCGATTAATGCGTTAAAAAAAATTGTACGGTATTTGCTGTAAATTCTGCAGTGCAGGCTTAAAAAACGCATCGTATAAAACGCATCGTATTAAATATTATTAATTCTCATTTACTTATTATAAATAAAAAAATTGTGTTTGATATAATTAATAAGCAAGACATACAATGTGTATAGCGAATTCGTTAATTTTAAGTTGAAAGAAGAAATATTCAAAATTTATATTAATTAATTAATTATAAAATGCAGTGCAGGCTTAAAAAACGCAGGCGTATAAAACGCATCGTATTAAATATTATTAATTCTCATTTACCTATTATAAATAAAAAATTGTGTTTGATATAATTAATGAGCAAGATACAATGTGCGAATATAGCGAATTCGTTAATTTTAAGTTGAAAGAAGAAATATTCAAAATTTATATTAATTATAAAACAAAAAAAGAGAAACTTTACTAAAAAATTTCCACAAAAAATATTATATTAAAAGATGTTTAAATTGGCCGAATAATGAAAATAATTTTTTTTAATCTTAGGTATACAAAGATATGAATAAATATTAGATATATCCGATATATATATATTTTAAAAGAAGAAAATTTAGATAGGTGAGATCGTATTGCAACCAACAATGTAACAGAAGCCTTGATAACGAACGTAAAAGGTCACGATACACTCTGAGAGAGATACCGACGTGACACGCGAATCACAATTGTAATAAAACTCACAATCATTTTCGAGAAAGAATTATCTCATACCACAGCGGAAAAATGCCTCGCAATACGTACTCGCTGTATCTCCTCGTAAAGGAATCTCGGCTATTTATAGAAGATGGTCGCATTTTTTACATTTTTCATGTAAAGAGGCGACAAGACGTCGCCGAAGATAATAGCTGGGCGGTGTGAACGTAATTTTAATTTCTTTCCGTTGAGAAATATAATTTCTGTTTTACGTTGGAATATTACTCAGAGAGTATTGATAATTGATAATTAAAAATGAAAGAAAGACAAGTACAAAAGTCAAAAAAAGTCAAACGTATGTGTCAAACAGTGTGAAAATGCGAAAAAAAGCGATGTATAATCTGTAAATAAATATAGATATTTTCATTTATCTTCCTGATTGTTTTCAATTTATTGAGGATATGTTTAAAGCATTTTCTCATTATTCTTTCAGTGGCATTTAAACATTACAATTCTTTTGTATTAGAATTCCTTTTAAATTACCTAAATCTTAAACATAAACGAGTTTTACAGAACAAGTGAGAAGATATCTTCTATACAAGTTAGTATTACTATTATAATTTCAAATTATGATGCAGTGTCTTTTACATAAAAGAAGCTACTTATTTTAAAAAATATATAATTTCAGAATCCCGGATATCGATTTTATATTTTTTTTTCTGGATAAAAATTCAAATAACATGTCATATAGTCATAATTAATATTGTTATGAGGTCAATGATTAATAATAAGCAATGACAGAAACAAGGAAACCACTGGATGGTAACGTCGATCAGATTTTACGCCCATATGTGCTTTCCGTGAATACCATCAACTAAATGAGTCATCGACATAATATCAGCTAACATGATACTCGATGTGTGTCATGCATCCTTTGCGAGTTAGAGAACCAGACGTATTAATTGAGATTGAAGAACAAAAAGAGAGTCAGTCAAATAATCTCCGGCTCTCTCGTTACTATTATTCGTTCTTACTTATTCTCTGCGATAAAAAAACCCATGACAAATAAAATTCTTTGTAAAAAATACCGTCTCCACAAAAATAATCTTTGTCAAGTGTACAATTAAAAGTTAAAAGATAAGCCGGTGATAAGACGGTGGTAATGAAAAGAATATTTAATTTTCTGGATTTGGATTGTTTCACGTGGCACATTGAACCGAAAGTGGCTCAGATGGCACGTTCAGATTACAAACCAACAATCCGACAGATGTAACTTTTTCAAGGCCTCGAATGAAACGTATCTCACATTTTACGTCACTGTCCACTTCCACTTTATTCATCAGTGATGTTAATAACGTTTCATGAATATCTTTGTCCGATCGGGAGTCGTGTTTTGATTCAATCGATACGTTTCCTGATTTCATGGAGAAACAGCGAAGGAGTAACAGCGCTTTGCGAATTTGGCGCCGTCAAACGATACCGTTGACGAGTCGGCACAGAATGATAGTGTTACCGTTATCAATTAAAACGTGAGCCTTCGCATATTTCGCAGCCGGCTCGAATGCGCCCGAATATTCGACAAGTGCAATCGCGTCGCATTTATGTGACGAATTTCGCCGCATTGTACCGCCGTACCCACGATTAATCCTTTCATACGGCGCGACATTCGTTTCGACGAACGTCGCGTTAATCTATTGAAGCCGTGGCGACTGGCGACTTTAATGGATGAATTTTTCGCCCGTACTCCCTCGGCATTCTTCTCCCACAAGATATTTTCAATAATCATCGAGGACGTCGCATCCGCATTGTAAGATCATATCGTTTCGAAACGTATTGCGGCAAGCCAAGACAATGTGATTTTCATTAAAAAAAAATCCCGAGAAGCTGCGGCCGCCTCGACGAGTATGCGAAGACCAGCCGGGGGATTTAAATCGACCGTGGATTCAATGAATTCGACGTTCGACAACACACGACCTCAAAAGTCAAATGATCAACCTCATGAAATAAAAGAGAGACAGAGAAAGTCGATGCGGTTACAGTCAGCGATCGCGTGCCGCGTCACTGAGATTTACAAGAAGCGATCAATCGCGATCCGGCTTCCGGGTGGCTCGCGTATACGATCCCACGGCGATGGGATGCCGCAGTGTCGTGAATGAACGTAGACGTCCCGGCAGACGTTCGCAGCATCCGGAGCGACCTTCACCGAGGCAAACGCCTGAAGCCCGGAATTTGAATCTCGGTATCCGGTAGTGAGAATACGTTCTCCATTCATCGGCCAATACACGGTGACAAGGTCGGCCATGGTCGCCATGGACTCGGATGCGACACACCGGTCTCGTCGGCGACAATGACGGCGGGCACCGTGTCAGCGCCGCGAAATAACCGATGACGACAGGCGCTCGCGATCGCTTCGGCGAATGCGTGCTCGCGCGAACACCTGTCAGCTCCGAGGACGCCGAGGCGGGCCGAGGCGAGCGGACGCCTGTCATCCGCCGGCACCGCGCGGTGGTTACGCCTTCTCGGCGACGGAGTCGTTCCTCCGCTCGGCCGCGACCGCGACCGCGACCACGACGGCCGGAGGCACCGCCGTCTTGCAAAAGAGAAGTGACACGCGCCGTCAAAAGACACACGCGCGTGAATCCACGGCCGAGCGTCGCTCGGGCGTGAGTTACACGCGTGCAGCGCACGACGGTGACGACACGCGCGTGTGTGTCGACGGTGCAGCTCGGCTAGGCTGGTGCACCAAGAGGCACCGTGTAGAAAGAAAGAGAAGGAGAGGGAGAGAGGAAGAGCGAAAGCGAAGAATAGCCTCGACGGGATTCTCACTCACCGCAACGAGGGCTGCTAATCTATCCTTGGTCATGATGAAGGGTGACGAGGAGTTGCGAGTCAGCGGGCGGTGTACGGAGCGGCGTGTCTAGCGGGTAATCCCATTCACGGTTTTATCCATGTACGACGTGCACGTCCACTAAAAAACTAAAGGAAACGACGGACGCACTGGCACCGCGCGAGAGAGGCACGATCGTAAAATCGATACACTCACGAACTCGCCTGCTTCTGCAGTGCCGTCCCGACGCGACGCGCACGCGCCGATGACGTCAACTTCGTCTCGCAGGTACGGACGTCGCGCGTCGCGGCGCCCCGCGAACGCCATATCGTCTGGAGAAGCGAAAAGCGAGAGAGACAGGGACGCGACTAAAATTTCTGGACTCTCTTACGTTGCATGTAACGAAATGTTTTCAATTTGCTAACTTCGAAGTCAAGTTAAATCCGTCATTTTTTCTCACACTTATCAGGTATTTCCTTATTTTTCTAACAAGAACGGGAAAAAAAGATAGAGCTGAATTATCTCGATTCAGAGTCGGAAATACGCAAGTAATCGCGCAGACAACACGAAATCAAAAAATCAACAATTTTCCACTGAAATTTTATCGTGGAATACAGAAGTTGTATATATGAAATCAACATTTATATCGCCGATATAACAATTCAGAATACAATACGGAACAAAATACAAGATTCGAAATCGGAACACAAAACAGTTATCCGATTTTGCATTTTGAGCTATTTGGATTGTTATATTAGCGATATAAACGTCAATATATTTCTGTATTTATATAATAATTTATATAATAAAATGTATTACTGTTGTTTCTAAATGTTTTTTATCTCTTGTTACATATTGTAATTGGACTTTATAATAATTTATGTTTTAACAATATATTATTTTTTATAGTAACATTTAACATATATAAAATATAAAATAAATTAAAAAGATTGTATATGCATACAATATTTTTTATATCAATGATATTTTAATAGCGTTATAAAAATAATGTATTATTAAATAAAATATTTTAGATAGAATAATTAATGAATTCGACGAACTTAAATTATGACAGACTTTGAACGTGTATGTTGCGACAGCAAGTGATTAATAATGAGATTATGTATTTTCTTATCTTTAAGATAAAAGGAAATAGAAGAAAAACTAAATTAATGATATCTTCAGCAATAAATGCATATATAATTATAGATTGCATATAGTTTTATATATA